TTATTAATTTGACACAAGCTAGAGTTATCTGGGAAGACAGAACCCAAATTAGTAAAGGCCTCTATCACATCGCCTGTAGGTAAGTCTGTGGGGTATTATCTTGATAAATAAATTATGTGGGAAGGGGCTAGCCTACTGCAGGTTGTTCCACCCCTGTGGAGGTATTCCTGGTTATCTTGGGGGTGTAAGAAAGCAAAGCCATGGGGAGTAAGCCAGTAAGCAGCACTCTTCCCTGGTCTCTTGCATCCCTTCAGTCTTGAGTTCTTATCCCGATTTCCCTTAGTGAGGGACTATTCCCTGGAAGTACAAGATGAAATAAACCCTTTCTTCCCCGAGTTGCTTTTGGTCATGATGTTTTATCACAGTGGCAAAAAAAAACCCCAAGCTAATACAACAGGTGTGGACCGGTACTCATAGCATTTCTACTTTAAGGCATTAAAATATTAACAAAAGGAAAACAGAATTCAAGAGGAAGTTGGGATATAGTTACCAGTGAATGTAGAAGATGGAGAAAATAGTGTTTCAGTTTCACAAAGTTGATGAATCCTAGCTGGGTCATTGCACCAACCAGTTTTACTTGTAATCTTCCCCCCTCTGTCTTGTTGACTTCTCTGAGGGCAGAGTGGAGTAGTCACTTTTTGGTTTTCTTTTCTCTTTCTTTCTTTCTTTCTTTCTTTCTTTCTTTCTTTCTTTCTTTCTTTCTGTGGTTTGATGCTAAACACAGTAAATCTCAAGGCCAGCCAGATGTGTGTATGGGAGGGGGGATGCAGGAGCTGAGAAGCTGCTTGCATCCTTCCCCGCCTCCCTGGCTTAAGGTGATACTCAGTCATGTCAAGTCCCTGGTTATCTGAGGGCAAGGGAAGCTTTCCTTCAGTTCACCACAGCCAAGCAGAGCCCATTCATCCAGTCCACACAGGTTCTCCATTCCCTTGTTTTGAGCCCTGGAGATCACAGTGAGGATTTTAAGGATCCAGGGAAAGGTGACATGTTCAATAAGCTGTATCCCTGCAATAGGATCAGCAGGTACCTACCTGGGAGTCGATGCTAATGGTGGAAATTCCAATGTGGTTAAAGGTCTCAGACTTTGCAAACAGCTTTGCCAAGGAGCCAGTCCGAAATGCAAATTGTTCTTGGCCACATGTGGCTGCTGCTCCTACTGAAGCCAGAGTAAGAAGTGCTTTCTCTACCCAAGGTCACATTGCTGCAGTGTGATGATGGCCAAGGTGAAGAGACTAAGCAAAGGCCTTTGGAATGGCCCAGAGCAAGAGTGTCAGAAATGCCAGAGGTCAAAGATGTATGCTTATCCCTTAGCATTTACTGGTGGTGGTTGTTCTAGACCCTTCCATACCTTACCAAATCCAATGATGCTGTAGGCCCCTGTGTAACTTTTGCATGCCACCTGCGCATATCCTTCTGTTCTTCTGTCCACCTCCAGATCACGTAGAACACTCAATGCAGTGTAAATATTATGTAAATAATTGTGGATTCTTTGTAGGTTTTTTTAAAGGTGGGTGGGATTTGAACCCTGGGCTGTTTGTATAATTGGTGAGTTATCTACCACTGAACTATACCCCCAACCCTGGAAATAGTTGCTATACATTATTCACATTGTTTAAGGAATAATGTCAAGAAAAAAAGTCTTTAACATTTTCAGTGTGGCTACAAATTAAGTTTTTCTAGTGCTTTCTATTTGCAGTTGGCTGGATCCATTGATATGAAGCCTGTGGCTACATGGAGCTGGTGTAATCCCAAACCCAGCATGTCCCTCTGCACAGGGCTAGGCAGCAGCATAGGCAGGCGTCAGACCTGTCTTCATGCCTGGCAGAGCTGTTTGGGTTCCACTTTAACCCACTGCATTCTTCGTTTATTAAAGGCTTCAGTGGGGATGAGCCAGGCCCAAAGATTTACCTTTGGAGAAGAGAGATGAAGTCCTGGTAAGACTTCCTAGGTGTCTGTACTGCTGCTTATAGAGGCTGAGCTCTCTCTGTGCACTGTGGTTGGTATTTCCAGAAATGGACTGAATCCTTTTCTTCCTGTGTGGAAGTCTGTCTGTCCGTGGGCTCGAGCTGGGATTTAAAGCTGGTTGTTCCCCTTGCTTCTGGCTTCTCTAGGTTGCTTTTCTGTTGCCAAGCTGTTTTCTCATTGAGTGAAAACAAAAAGTTGTCCTACCTTGCTTATTGGAATGTCTGTGTCATGACAATGTCAGTGCCTTGTGTGTGTAGCATTTTGTTGGTTTCAAAGCATTTTTGGCCTCTCTGTCTCACTGCATAATGATGTTGCTGGGCATTCTGTATTTGTTCACTTCCTTTTTCTTCCAGTTTTGCCTTGTCTCCACTTTCCAACTACTTGTTCCGAGGGCTGAGGGGAGAGGGAATTTTTCCGGTGCCCAAATGAAGCTAACCCAGCTGCTTTTTATAGACTAGCCCTGAGACAGTTCTATCTGCTGGGCTCGCCGCATCAGCAAGAGTGCTAAGAAAAATGTGACTTAAAAACTGTCCCTCTCCAGGCACACCTTAAAATGATCAGTGAAACCTCTCCTGGAATGGCCAACTTGTAAGTTATGTCCACACAGTCCTTTCTGTGAATGGCTTGCTTTTTGTTTGCTTAGTGTTTGTTGAGAGATTCTTCATCTTCCTCAATGTAGAACTTCGATATTGATATAGTCACTTTTGTCATTGCCATGTAGCCCAAGCAGTCTTTGAACTCTTTATCTTCCTGCCTCAGCATCCTGAGGGCTGAGGTTGTGGCAGTGTGCCGCCATGCCCAGTTTAGGAAATAGTACTGTCCCCTGGTGTGTGGCACTGCACTGGCTTAGGAGAACTGTGAACTCAAGTCCTCAGACAAGGTAGCAAGCACTGTACCACTGAGCAACACCCCACACCTCAGTCCCTGATGGAGAAAAATTGTGACTTCAATTGTATTTTTTGTTTTTTTGTATAACATATATATATAAAGGTGTGCCAAATTAAAGCCTGGAAGGTGGGTCCGTAGATTGTAATTTAAAGATTTTCTTTTTTTTAAAGATTTTATTTATTTATTATGTATACAACATTCTGCTTCCATGTATATCTGCACACCAGAAGAGGGCACCAGATCTCATAACGGATGGTTGTGAGCCACCATGTGGTTGCTGGGAATTGAACTCAGGACCTCTGGAAGAGCAGTCAGTGCTCTTAACCTCTGAGCCATCTCTCTAGCCCAAAGATTTTCTTTAGAGCATTTAGGAAATTCCTTTGAGGTTGATTAGGATGAGACAGACCCAGGAAGTTCTGAAACTCAATTCTCACGGCCTCACACATTTCCATGTCCTGCCTCCCTCACTCCATCTCAGGTGCTGGGTGCCTGGAGACAGACAAACCCTGGGTGTCAAGGCCGAGAGACACCAAGCAGTTTGTATGGGTGCCTCTACTTGCATTCCCTGTGTACCACCTATGAGTGCCCACTCCATTCTAAAGGAATGGTAGAGTATCTGAACTTAGTGAAGCCTGAATCTGTCTTCCTGCCACTTCTGTTCAATCCAACAAATATCAAGTGCCTACCAAACACCAGGCACTGTTCCAGGGACTGGAGTCAGCACAAAACACACAGGCAAAAATCATTTCATGGCTAGCTCTACCCCTTGGTGCCACACGAGGCAAGCCAGAGAATTCTTTGCAAAAGTCCTTCAGTAACTTGTACGTGCTTAGGTTCTCGTGAGTCTTTACATGAAGTTGAGCCCTTGATTAGCCCAGAATAAGCAGACAGCCTCAGATCTTTTCACTTGTGTTTGTCACAGTATCTTTCAATAAATATCATTTAATGACTATTGAGCTCAATATTTGTTAAGTATTTAATTGATTTTTTTCATAGACATTTTTAACTTTCGTTTCATTATAAAGGTACTATACACCTGGAAAAACATTCTGGAAAATTCAGATAAAGAGGAAAAACAAAGAAGAGCTGGTCATAGGAGCTCATGTCTATAATCCTGTCCCTTGGGGCACTGAGGCAGGACTGTTGCTGTGAGGCAAACTCACATGGGCTACATAGTGAGTTCCAGGCTAGCCAGGGCTACATAGCAAGACCCAGTCTCAAGAAAAAGAAGGAAAAAGAAATTGCTTTCTCACTGTGAAAATGTATACTTCTTTTCTCTTTTTTTTCAACCCATATCTGTTTATATAGCTGAGAACATAATGGATTGGGTATTTTGAGTCTTCAGCCCTCAGGATGTTGAGGTAGGAGTATAAAGAGAACATAATGAATTAGTTATCTGGTGGGGGCAGTGTTGGGATTTTTTTTTCCCCTCCGTCAAATGAGTTTAGACTGAGCTAGGGGTGAAATCTAGGCCTTGCACATGTTAGCAAAGCATTTTACATAGCCCTTCTAGAGTTCTGTTTCTCCATCTAACATTGGCGTTTCGTATATGAAATAGAACTGTATGTTGATAAAGATTATTTAGCTGGGTGTGGTATAACATGGGCCTGGAGTCTTAGCCCCTGAGGCAGAAGGAGCTTGAGTTTGATCTAGTCTGGGTTACATCATAAGATCCTGATTTATTTATTAATTTTTTAAAAAAGATGGTATGGAAGTGGTTGCATAATGTTTCAGCCAGTAGAATTTCCTGAGGTTCAGGCACTGAAGAGTGTAGGGTTCCCAGAAATGGGCAGCGTTGATGCCTTTGCTTGAAGCCACGAGCCTCCCAAGCCACCGGCCCCAGAGCAGTCCGAGCCCCCAGGGAAGAAGGGTCTGACTACAGCTGTGCTGTGGACTTTTCTAACAAGCATCCTTCTTGGTACATTGCATTCTCTTTCTCTCTTCTCGTCCCTGTGTCATCAGCATGCTCTGCCCATTTGTTGGAGGATGGTGCTGTCTTTTGCCTTCTCACTGCACACACCAGCCCACACCAGGATGCCCGTGCGGCTGTTTTGAGGCTCTCTTCTCGCCAGATGAACTCTGGAAGCACTTCTTCCAGTTGATAAAGCACTGGCAAGCGTTGAGCTCACTCTAGCCCTTGCTTGCAGGCCTGCAGCTGAGCCAGAAACCCCTGACTACATTCCCCGATGTGGTGGTTGTACGACTGTCCACTCCCTCTGTCCAGTCAGATAGTGAAATCACCATCCTGAGGCACCTGGAGAAGCTGGGCTGCCGCTTGATCAACCGTCCTCAAAGCATCTTAAACTGTATCAACAAGTTTTGGACATTCCAAGAGCTGGCTGGACATGGGGTCCCCATGCCAGACACCTTCTCCTATGGTGAGTCTTCCCAAAACACATTTATAACTCTTTCCAAAACATTGCTGTCTCTTTTCTCTCCCAGAATCCTCCCTGTGTCTCTGGTTGCTATTTCCTATGAATCTGTTTACCTTTGGGGAGTTAACATACTGACTGTTGGCCAGTCCCTTTGTGTAAACTGCCTTGGCCGCTTTCTGTTTCTAGTCATTTGGTAAACATGCAGCAGCCACCATTAGAGGCTGGCTTAGTCACTCTTCTGTGACTGTGAAGAGACACCATGACCAAGGCAACTCTTAAAACAGAAAACATTTAACTGGGGCTTGTTTACAGTTTCTGAGATTTAGTTCATTATCATCGTGGTGAGGACCATGGTGGCAGGCAGGCAGGCATAGTGCCTTAGAGTTAGTTGAGAGCTACATTCTGATCCACAGGCAGAGAAAATGAATGGGTCTGGTATGGGCTTTTGAAATCTCAAAGCCCAACTCCCAGGGACACACTTCCTCCAACAAGGCCATACCTCATAATCCTTAAAATCCTATCAAAGAATTCCTCCCACTCCCTAGTGACTAAGCATTCAAATATATGAATTTATGGGGGACATTCTTATTCAAACTACTACAGAAGCTGGCATAGTACTGTCCCTTGGGCATTTCCATGGCATCAGAAACAAAGGGCCACAAATATACAGGCAATTTCCATGCAGTAAGGTCAGTGTTTAGGTGGGAGAATCACTGTCCTTAGGTGGCACATGAGCTCATCAAAGAGCTCCAACCACAGTAATGAGACATCAAGGACCACTTCCTTAAAGAGGTAGCATTAACTAAGCTAAAGATAGTCCGTGAAGAGCAGGGCCAGGAGCAGAGAGCAGAAAAAGAGCCAGAGGTAAAGGGAACATGATTAGCTGTATCGCCAGTAGTTGCAGAAGGTTAAGGATGCTCGAGGAAGAATTGAGGCCTAAGATTGGAAAGATACAAGGCTGCTGCATGCAGCGTGCTCAGGAGATAGTGGTATCCCAAGACTAACAGGAGGCTTCCCATCAAGAAGTGTCTAATCAGAGTCACCCTGCAGATTACTTTGGCCACCGCATGGAGAGTGAATGACACAAGACAAAATAGAGACGGGGTAGGCAGTAGTAAGATTCAGAGTGAGGAATGGAGACACGTGAGCAGATTCAGGAATTGTTAGGGCAACAGACACACTAAAGCGGAATGATTGATGGTTTATAGGGGGTGTGGGGAGGAGCCAAGGTAAGGGGTTCTGGTTTGAGTCACCAGATACCAACATAGTCATGGACTGAACTGGAAATAGGAGGAGGAAGCAAACTGGTTTTCAGGGTGAGTAGCTGGCAGGGGGGATGATTTCAGCGGAGAACTTGGTCTGTTTGAGACACTTATGGTCTGCACGAGAAGATTCTTGGGTGGCAGTGAGCAATGGGCTCTGAAAGGCTGGGCATGAGGATTTGGAAGCCCCTGTTATGCTGACTGAAGTAATAGGCATAGGTTACTTAGTGTGAGCAGGAAGGATGAAAGAACAGAGGGCTAAAGGGTCCACATAAGGGGTTCACCTGAAAGGGTGGGCGCCTGGCACACCATCCTGGAATTCTGCTCCTACAGACATTGTGAAGGAACTGACTGTAAGAATGTCATGAGGATTATAATAGCCGGTGTGACATTTCCATGTATACAGTGGCTTGATGCTGGTAGTAGCTTTCCTCTGTTGCTGCCTTGCATGTCACAGGTATGTAGTTAGTGTCTGCTGGTTTGGGTGGATTTGGATAGATTTCATCAGAACATTCTAAGGGGGCAAGTGCTGGGCCAGTCTCTGCCCCATTGCCAATACTTTATTCTCACTTTTTCTTGGCAGGTGGGCATGAAGACTTTTCTAAAATGATTGATGAAGCAGAGCCCCTGGGCTACCCAGTGGTGGTGAAGAGCACACGGGGACACCGGGGTCAGTGGTGCTGCTGGGAAGCCAGTCCATGTAACTGCAGTTCTGGGCACAGGAATGCTGTGCACACTCACAGTGTGTTCTGTTGCTCTGTCCTTTTGTCAGACTCCTGCCTCTCCCTGAATGCCCCTGAGCATATTCAGATTCTTAAGTCCACAGCCGGCATGGCTGCTCTTTCTTTGGAAACAGATTTGTTCTCCCTTGCCAAACACCCTCCCAGTCCCCACACTACGTCTTATATCAAGTCCATGCTCCTCATCATGGCACCAAGGCCTATGCAGACGGCCTCCTCCATTCCACGCTGTCCTCACTCGCCACAGAGACTGTGAATTCTGCCCCATAGCTATCTGCTGTCTCGGCTTCACTGGAGCACTGTCTTTGCCCATCTTTTAAGGCCAGCTCCTGACATCATTTCTTCTCTCAGCACACCCCTGTAATGTCAGCCTTCTGGGAAGCTAGGATCAGGGGACTGGGAGTTTCACTTTAGGGCAGCGTGGGTTGCACACAGAGTGGGACCCTGTCTGAAAAAACAAACAAACAAACAAACAAACAAACAAATGAGCATGGGTGCAGGGAGAGAGATGATGGTGAGGTTAGAATCAGAAGAAAGTAAGATTTAGTCTGAGTAAGAAGAAAGAGCCTCAGAGAAATAGGAGGGGCCAGTACATGGAAATTTCTGGAAATTTGGGGCAGGGAGGCAGGCTGGGGAGGTAGGATGGCAAAGACAGGCCTATAGCTTTTCCAGCTCTCGCTCTTGTCTTTCTTCTTGAAGGAAAAGCTGTTTTCCTGGCTAGAGACAAGCATCACCTCTCTGACATCTGCCACCTGGTCCGCCATGACGTGCCCTACCTGTTCCAGAAGTATGTGAAGGAGTCACATGGGAAGGACATCCGGGTGGTGGTGGTGGGTGGCCAGGTGATCGGCTCCATGCTGCGATGCTCCACAGATGGCCGCATGCAAAGCAACTGCTTCCTAGGTAAGATGGGGAAGGCTTGCCTGGGCGCAGGGGACCTCACTGGGCTATTTGGCCTGCTCAGTGATCACAACCTGATCCCTGCTCCTGTCAGACCTTCTGCTGATTGTGGGTCTCACAGAGAATGAGAGGAACCTTTCCTGTGGCCATATGCAGTTCCAGGGGAGGAACAGGAAGTCAAGGGCTGGGCCAGAAGACACTGTGTCAAGACACAGAAGTTTGACACCTTGTGTGTAGATGTTAGGACTCAACGTCAGGGATTGACAAGGGAGTGACACCAGCTTTTGGGAAAAAGTACAATTGAGTAAAGCATGGAAGACACAAGGAAGGAGGCGAGGAGACAATTTTGAAAACTGCAGCTGCTTAGACAGATTACCAAAGGCCTTATAGGTGTGTCCACCCTGTGACCCAAGAGCCCCAGAAGCTATAAATGCAGCCCAGTGCAAAGGCACAAACTACTTAAAACATTATTTGTTTTGTTTTGTTTTCTTGCAAGTGTGTGTCTGTGTGTGTCTGTGTGTGTGTGTGTGTGTGTGTGTGTGTGTGTGTGTGTGTGTGTGTGTGTGTGTGTGTGTGTCTGTGTGTGTGTGTGCCTTGATTGCAGTTCTCAAGTGTGAACTTTGTAGATGGCAAGGTTATGTTGCAGTGTGAAAGGTCTGCCATGCCCAGGCCCGGAATCAAGGCTGTACTTGCTCTCACATTTTAATTGAGGATTTCCTTTCCCTTTCATGCACACAGCTGCCAGAAAGCTGCAGTTTTTATTTTGGTTGAATGCAGACGCCCATCCCTTTGGTCCACTCAGAAAGTTTGTTCTCTATCGTGGGAAACAAAGACATTGCAAGAGGGACATAGGTCCCTGTCCCCATCACAGAAAACTATGGTCAGGCTTGGTGAATGAATTTGTGTGGGTAATTTGGAAAGAGAAAACAGAAAAAGGAAAGCCCTACAGTTATTTCCTGACTCAGTAGATGTGTGCTCTAAGGTCATTGACTAATAGGAGGCTCATTTGCTGAGTGGGTCCTGTCTGGCTAAAAGTCCCCAAGTAGCCACACTGCATCTGCAGTGGAGTCTGGATGGCAATATCAGTTCTTTCCCTGGGCTAGCACATGGCCCAGAAGCTGTGCAGGCACCCTGGCCACACAGGCAAATTCTAGGTTAAGTCTGACCCTGTGCTCAGCCCTTCAGTGATTGTCTTCATTTACACAATAACCATGTGCAGAGCCGCATGTGGAACCTTGTGTTTGTCGGCACACGTGGTATGTGGAGGCCCCAGGGTGATAGTATATTATTATTATTATCTTTCATTTTCTGGAACTGGGGGTGAACCCAGAGTCTGCACTTGCTGGCTGGTCAGGTGCCCTGACTCTGATGCTCAGCCCAGCATTATTATTATTTTTTTTTTTGAGGCAGGGTTTCTCTGTGGCTTTGGAGGCTATCCTGGAACTTGCTCTTGTAGACCAGGCTGGTCTCGAACTCACAGAGATCCGCCTGCCTCTGCCTCCCAAGTGCTGGGATTAAAGGCGTGCGCCACCAACGCCCGGCTTCAGCCCAGCATTATTAATGATTATAAAGTATGTTGTTCCTGCCTACTATAATGATAGATTAAACTTTTCCATTTCCCTAACAACCATTTATTGAATACACACTGTATCAGGCACTGTGATTTTCCAGTATTTATTTTTAGTTTTTTATGTACGGGTATATGCCATAGGTGTGTGGGAGCCCATAGGGACCAAAAGAGGACATTGGAGCCCCTGGAGTTACAGGTAGTTGTGAGCCACCTGAAATGGATCCTGGGAACCAAAGTCGAGTCCTCTGGAAGCTTAGTCAGTGCTCATAACCATTGAGCCATCTCTCCAGCCCCAAGTTGCTGAAATTTTAAGCAACACTTGTCTCACTAGCCCTTTGTCATCAGTCTCATCTCTCTCAAAGGGTCATTAGCAAGTGGCATTTGTCACCTTCACATTGCTGTGCTTTCTCCATAGGTGGTGTGGGCGTCAAGTGTCCACTGACAGAGCAAGGCAAGCAGCTGGCTATCCAGGTATCCAACATCCTGGGCATGGATTTCTGTGGTATTGACCTTCTCATCATGGATGATGGCTCCTTCGTGGTGTGTGAGGCAAACGCCAATGTCGGCTTCCTAGCCTTCGACCAGGCATGCAACTTAGATGTGGGGGCAATCATTGCAGACTATGCCATGTCCTTACTGCCCAACAGGCAGACGGGGAAGACGGCCATCCTCCCGGGACTGTCAAGTCCCAGGGAAAAGAATGAGCCAAGTGGTTGTGCTTCAGCTCAGGTGGTTGAGAATGTCTATGCCATCAACAATGGGTCTACCTCTAGTGAGAGTGAGCCTGAACTGGCAGAGGTCCGGGATTCCTCAGCAAAAACGATGGTGGGGATCCCACCTCCCCAAGTTGCCCGAACCTGGTTACAACATTAACAGGATTGCTTCAGAACTCCGGTGAATTCCTGCTTTTTTTTTTTCAGCATTTAAACCAAATCCTACTGCTTCCCTGAGTAGTATCCAGTGAATAAGAATAAGATCTGAACTAATGTGATTTCATTTGCACAGAAACTAGAAAAATCCCATCCGGGCACTCAGCATTCTTTCTAACAACAGTTTGAACAAATGGCCTAGCTTTGTGGTTTTTATGAAGACTCATATATAAAAACACCAAGAACAGCATCCCAAACAGTCAATTTAAGCCCAATGTCTACTGTGTGCACTTGGATGGAATGGTAGACTTTAAGGCTCTGACCCTGTGCCGCTCTCTCCCTGGCTGTTAGCAGCAGCAAATATGAGTTTGGCTCCTGGAAACACTGTTCTCAAATGCAGCCAGGAGATGGAGGCATGTGCGAGCAGGCAGGATGCTCACAGAATTCTACTAGGGGATGCCCCCAAGCCCCCCCCCCCGCCCCACCCCCTGCCTGCCATCCCAGTCACACCTCTAACACTCAGGAGCTCCCTCACTGGCCATCTCTCACTGCAGCGCGTTGTAGAAAGTGAGGTGGACCATTCTTTGACCTCACCACCTGGCATGTGTCCTGTTTTGTAACAGGGCATTTCTATAGATTGCTTTGTCACTCAGAATTCATACCCCTGCTTTCACCTAATGCCAGCTCAAGCAGCTTCACGCACCTTTGCTGCCTTTGGCCTCAACTGGAAATGCATCTGGATGAGCTATGGCCACATACTTTGTTTCCTGTGCATTAGAACCCAACACCATTTATTTTTCTTTTCAATGGACTCTGCTCACTTGTCATCTGGAAACCAGTGGGATTTTTAACCACAGAAAGTTACTGGATGGTGACTGTTCTTTTCCCCTTCTTCTGGGTGTTCTACTTCTACCCAGGATCCAGGAACCTGCCCTTACCCGTTTTTCCAAATTGTGGAGACTCCGGGTATTTGTGGAGGGGTGAGCGGGGCTGTTGTACAAATAATACCTAGTGCTCTCCATTTGAACTCTTCATGCAGTAGATGAGATCTTTCCCTTGGGAGAAATTGTAGAGATGGAGTTTTGTGTTTCTGCTTATGGGAAGTCTAACAGAAAACAAGCAACGACCAAATACACCTGAACAAATGCATCCTGGAGTTACCTCACTACAGCTACCTGGGAGGCCATCCTCTCGAGCTGTTTTATTGCAGGTGTCAAGAACATTGAGGATTCTTCGTTGGGATTACCTCAGAAGCCATCAAAGGAAAGAGACCTCATAACTTTATCAACAGGTCTTGTTTAGTTTCTTTTACCCTCCCCTAACTCCTGCTACTTGCCAAGGCAGTGCTAAGTTCTATCACCCATTGTATTTGCCAGAAAAAAAAATGTTCTTTGGCTATTAAAAATTATAGACCTAGCCATAAAGGACAAAGGAATGCCCACTCCAGGGAAGCATATAAGTTGACAGTTTCCAAAGACAGTTCTAGAAATACAAGTTGGGTCTACTACACTGCAATAAACATACACTTTCCTTAAGGCATCTACTTTGAAGGCAACACCACTCAAGAGTAAGTGCATGCACACAATTCCTGTACTTACTCTACTATTAGTGTAAAGTGTGTATAAAGTTAAAAAAAAAACTGTAACTTTTTTCACAACATATTTAAATAGAAATTGGCCTTTGAAACATTATAGTTAAACCAGATTTCACCAACCAACAGTTGTACAACTGAAAAGTGTTGGTGCCACATCATAGAGATGTCACACCTCACAGCTGTAGTTTCTGTGCAGTCTCACCCTGGGTCCACGCCACTGAACGAAAACCGGAGTAATGTATCTGTATAGTTGAAAAAGTATAACACTTTGCTCTTTTAGATTAAGACCAATATCTTCTCCTCACTACTCAGGGTGGCTTTAGAAGAAGGCGAGTTAATTCTCTTCCTGCTGGAAGTGGTCAGATGCCAGCCAAGTGTTGGCCTCTTGGAAGCTATACTCATGCATGTCCACTGTTTACTGTGAGTCTCTTCTCATTGATCTGAGTCCACTTAGGCCCAGGTGGAGCAGTTCTGAGTGTTCCCAAATTCCTTTGCCAAAGGAGGCCCATTTCGCAGCTGGCAGAGATATGTCATTGGTGTTATTGTCCAAAGCTAACCCTGCCAAGAGGCAGAGAGAGCTGACTCTCATCTGGATCCTAGCCCTGCTCTGGGATTTCCATCCCACAGCTGGCCATGGGCAATTACTTGAGTCTCAGCTTTGTGGCCCAGCCATACTTGCCACAGCGGCCTATACTTGCTGGAAAGACGATGGGAATGCAGAGAGAGCCAGAGCTTGGTTCTGGCTCTCCCAACAGAGCTGACCACTTGAGTTCTGGGTCTCCACTTTTCCTTTCTGCATTCCTCTTGGTGCATGTTGAGGTTGAAGTGAGTTAGTAAGCACAGCTGTGCATTTGTGGGAGGTGATGACAGACACCTCCTACATGTAGTTTTATGTTTCTCATCACTCCTCTTTGAGAGCGTTAAAAAAAGGAAGAGGCTATGAATTCTTGGCATTAGCAAGCTCAGCAGTAGTAGGGACCCAGAAGAAAAGAATGCAGCTTCTTAGAGGCCTTCCTTCTAGCCAGAGATACTTCACAACCTGAGAGGAGTAAGGCTCTGGGGGTAACAAAGAACCTTCCAGATGTATCCTGTATAACCTGAAACCCTTGACTCATGTATAACAACACCAAGTCTTCCTCTGTAATACAGATTCAGGTGTGTATGTATGTGGTCTTCTCACTGTCTGGTATGAACATCTTGAAACTGGTCAAAACTTGAATGTCAATAGCTCAGTCACTCAGAATATATATGATTCTGCACTTGGGAGAAATATCTCTAGGCGTCTTGTCTGATTGATTGTATATGGGATGGACGAAGGTGGGTTGCAGACTTTAGGCCTTTAGGAAGTGAGAAACAGCACAAGTGGATCATGGGCCATTGCTGTCACTGGCTGACTCAGCCCTCCCACCTAAGCACTCTCTGTCAAACAGGCCAGGGTGGGGAGGGGATGCAGGGGATAGGCTTGGGACAACTTTGTGGCAGAGAGGTAAAATCAGGATCACTTGGAACTCTATAGAGAAAAGGAGGGGAAATGGCTTAAGTCATGGTTAGGACACCCTGCAAATACAGGAAAGATGGAAGCAGCTAACTTGAGGGACAAAGTGAGTTCTAGGACCGACCAAGTCTCAAAATACAGTGTACGAAGCTTGAAGTGGGGAGTGATTTTATCAACAGGCACAGCTGGACACTGTCCCTGTACTCACAGGCATGATCTCTGCTTAATGGTGGTCTGGGCAGATGTTTTGAGAAAGACACTAGCAACAGCTATTTGTCACTGCTCTGGAAGTTCATGTTCTTAGATCCTGATAGAAATCCTGGTGGTGTGGCTGGAGAGATAGCTTGGCAGTTAAGAGTACTGGCTGCTCCTCCAGAGGACCTAAGTTCAGTTCCCAGCACCCACATATGGTACTTCACAATCATAAATCTAATTCCAGGGGATCCAACACCCCCTTCTGGCATTGGCAGGCACTAGGTATGCACATGGTGTGGGAAAAATACCCATACACATAACAAAAATAAAATTTAAAAAAGCATTGTTGAAAAAACAAAACCCTGACGTTGCTATTGGCTTAGGACTCAAAGTTCATATAGATAATTGCTTTAAGAAATGCCTTAGTTACTTTTATGTTGCTGTGATAAAACACCATGACCAAAGCAACTTACAGAAAGCAGTGTTTATTTGGGGCTTGTGGTTCCAAGCGGACCATCACACCAGCATGGTGGCAGAAACAGATGAGAAATCACATTCTGAACCGAAGGCAGAGAGATTGTACCCAAAATGAACCCTCAAGAAACACTCCCAGTGACACGCTTCCCCCAACAAAGCCACACTGCCCAAGCATACCCAAACACCTACCAACAGGGGACCAAGTGTTCTAATGCCTGAGACTGATGGAGGAACATCTCATTCAAAGCACCACAGAAAGTTTTTCGCTGAAGGGCCATCCTTGAAAACAAACTGTTCTAACCCTTTCCTCCAACAAGGCCAGTCACTGTTCCAAATCTATGAACCCTGGCACCTCCTCTCCTGTCCCACCAGCAAGCTCCCAAATAACCACACAGAGACTTTTAATTATAAATGCTCAGTTGATAGATTAGGCTTATTACTAACAAGCTCTTACAACTTAAATTAACCCATATTTCTTACCTACGTTCTACCACATAGCGGTACCCTTTTTCAGCACGGCATGTTCACCTTCTGAGTCTCCTTGAGACTCCGCCCTTCTTCATCACCTCACTCTCTTCCTGTCCACAAGGCCTACCTAACCTCTTCCTTCCTAGCTATTGGCCATTTAGCCCTTTATTAAACCAATGAGAGCAATGCATATTCACAGTGTACAAAAAGATTGTTCTCCGGGCGTTGGTAGCGCACGCCTTTAATGCCAGCACTCGGGAGGCAGAGGTAGGTGAATCTCTGTGAGTTTGAGGCCAGCCTGGTCTCCAGAGCGAGTGCTAGGATAGGCTCCAAAGCTACACAGAGAAACCCTGTCTCGAAAAACCAAAAAACAAAACAACAACAAAACAAAAGATTGTTTTACATAGGACTGCCACAAAACTAGCCTTCCAACCCATTTGGTAACCTCCATAAACTCTGAGACTCCAATGTAACATTAGAAAGGTCACCCCCAGAGAGCCAGGTTGGAGATGAGTGTTTTCCCCATCTTGTAACGCATATCTGAGTTCCAGAAACCAGGGACTGCGCCAGCCACCAGCAAGGCTGGACCTAGCATACTGCCAGAGGTGACTCTGTTCCTCCACACAGACAGCACTGTCTGCAGTCCCACCCTCTACCCTTTCCATTCTGAGGAGCTGGTCAAGTACTTCGATGTCAATGAGCCAGCTGCCTCAGCACCATGTGGGTGTGGGACTCGTGTTCTGGCAGCACCTCCTGGTCCCAAGCTCCTGCTACCTCATTTTAAGCAATAGTGTTGTCTT